AATAAAAATCATGAATCATGAATTTTATTTTGGATTTTGTTAAAAGGTTTAATAAACATCTCAGTTCCAAAAAATTAGAATGTTCTGGCTATTTTTTGATATGTTGGGCTTTACAGGGTTAACACTATATATAAAATGTATACAAGGTAATGAGGAGGATGGAAGTAAAGCATTAACATGTGTTTAAATGTGTGTTGATGCAGCACTGCCACGCACAAGCCTTCAGGAAAGTGTGAGTGTTTCCATGTTTGAATCAGGTAAAGGGGTGAGCAGGAGGCCTGGGGGAAATGTGTGGGTGAGTGCGTGACACTGAAAAGGAGGGGGAGAGGGAGGAGAGTAGGCATCAAAAGGGCGGGTGGGAAATCAGCTCAAATGAGAGGAAAAGTGACAAGGTGGGAGGAGGGATGAGGCGGATGACTCACTGGTAGCAAAGGTTTGAGCTGAAAGAAATGAGGAATGAGCGAAACTAAAAACAACGAGGTGTCTCTCCTGTGAAGCCACTTCAGTTATGGTTAGAGCAATTCACCTCCCTTGTGTCACTGTCTCTCTTTTCCCTCTCTCTGCCACAGTCTTCCACCTTCAATGATGTTCAAAAACTCTAAACATCTTTAAGTGAATGACTCACAGAGAGGGTACCTGCGGTTAAATAATTCCTTTCCTGCTGCGCAGGCACAAAACAAGCCAGACGTTGCTGTGTCCCCTGTGTAAAATCCAGCATCAGCCAGCTTTGATCAAATTTCACTTTGAAGGATGAGAGACAAACAAACCACCCTTCATTCTGCCCCCAGCTTCCCACCACCACCACCATCAATTAATGAAATTCTCGTGTCATTGTGGAAATTAGACATCTATTTGCATCCCAAGTGCAAGACATTTAACAAGCCTTATCAAAGGATCAAAGTGGATATTCCTCCGGAGTGCTGACTGAATGTGGAAAAAACAAGCATGGGACAAAAAGGTGTTCAACAGCACGGGACGCAGATAAAACAAAAGACTGAACAAACAGGAGATTCATGAAAAATCCTGCGAGACAGAGGAAGAGAAAGACAGTGGGGTGAGGAGACAGACGAGGGCCAATCATTTCCACAATGGAATCATTCATTAGATAAACAAATCAAAACATCCTCATTGTAATCAGTGTTGAACATTCATGCAAGTCTAACTAATCCTCATCTGCTCTTTTAACACAGGTGTCTTCTGAGACATCAGGACCAAATAACAGCCGGCAGCAATATCCAGGCTTCAACGCTGCTGTCAGGTAATACTACTGATTGAGCCAAAACCAAAGGTACTCCATCAGTGATGTTAAGCAGTTGTTCTGTCATATGAGTGCAGGTCTTTGGGAGCACAATTAGACAAAGATTTATCTCAGAAGCAAATGTGATTGAGTCACCAAAGGCAAACTGAGCTGTGTCCCGCCTCATGAGAAATCTTATTTCACACTATAATCCAGTACAGAGCAGGCGATAAACTGAGCCAGAGGAAACGAAAGCAATTTGTGTGTACAGTATAATGAATGAACTGAGGGTGACCCCTGCTGGTGAGTAGTGGTAACTGCAAGACTTTTTGATTGAAAATTTACACTAATAGCTGCCAAACAGCTTGGAGCCATTTGAATAAAACATAATAGAACTTTGATAGTTTGTGTTGGGTTATGGCTTAGATCTACTAATAGTCAGAGTTTAGAGAGCTATCTGCATTTATCTGTTGCATAAAGCTGTTTAGCTCTTGACCATCTTAAGTTGGACTAATTTGCTATAAATTCTGAGTAAGAGTTTTTCAAACTAAGAAAACAGCATCAAACCACTTAACTCCCTTCACTCCACCAGAAAACTTTTGTTTCTTTTAAGAATTTAATAGTCATCGGGATGTTTTGCTGGGAGAAAGAAAGAAAGAAAGAAAGAAAAAAGAAATTGCACTTTAAAAAAAAACATTAAGGATCATATAAGCAAAACCTGACAACATTACTTGAACATCAGTGGTACAGGATGACATATTTTTAGCACACAAAAACACATGGGCATGGGTAGAACACAGAGCAAGAGCCAAAAAGAAGTAATAAGCTACTCGTTACCCATCAGCAAACACAACACAAAGGTCTCAATCAAACACATCACAGAAGTTAGACTGTAGCAGACAAGAAGGAATATCAGGAGTACATAAAGACAAACTAGGAAAGGCACCACTGGATGTTTATAGTCTTCTAATCACCTACTTAAAAGAAAGAGGATCAGAACAGAACAGAGTTTGGTCATTTTTCCTGCCAATCTTCTGTTCCACACTCCAACACAGTAGGGGGCAGTAAGATGGTTTTCCAACCACCAAAAAACAGAGAAAAAGAAGCTCAGCTGAGCAGAGTCAAGTGTGATTATATACACAGCTAATCTACAACTAGTATGTTGATCTTTCCCCCGCTTATTACTCAAACACTATCAAACCCTCACGTTATGTGTGAACAGTCACTAGATAGCATCATTTGACCATCGCCCCGAGCATCAATCCTTCCATGTACAGTCAGTCAAGCGTTGCTGTCATCCTTTGGAGGATGATAAATGATGTCAATCATGACTAACACATGAATGGTTCCAAGTAATAAGTACCAGATTAAGCATCATAATAATCCATGTGCACAGCCAGGCACCTTGTTCTCAGTGTGTTAACCCAGGCCTGCCCAGATGGAGGTGCCGGTTAATCAAGAAGAACCATTGATTTCGGTGTATATAAAGCCCGGCCTGAAAGCTGAAAGGCCTGGCAGTAAAGTAAATAAAGCCAAAGCACAATATCATCAAATAATGGCCCCTGTGTTTTTGTTGGACAAAGAATAGGCAGCTGTTTACAGTACAAACAGGAGACTGAATTCAAGGGTTATCTAGATCAACAGGTATAAGCACATATAACCCTTACATCCATACTAACTCTCTTACTATATCTTACTATAACTTTACTGTATCATGTTGCTTCGTGTCACGTAAGCCAAACATATCAGGTGTGATAATATTTACAATAATTCCGGGGACACGATTCTAGCATGAGTGATTGATTACTGCAATACAGTCCTCCAGTTTGGCCACAACCTCACCTGATAACAATCGCAAAGGCAAGGAGAGGCAGGCATCTCATGAAAAGACACAGTCTTTCTCCAGACACTCCCAACTGCTTTCATTAAGGCTCCAGTTACACTAGGAGGAAAAAGGACTGTTCATCTTATGATCTGTGTCACTGAGCAGTTTTCTGCAACGACAGGTTGAGCAACACTCACAGCACTATAGACTATAACATTCATCCCACTGTTATGATGCTATGACCTGACTGTTATCCATTATGAGCTCATATTTGTTGTTTATTTAAGATTATTATGAGCCTTTCAGAAAAGACTGTGTGCGCTCATCACACACAGCTTTGGCTTATTCTTTTCTCAAAACAACAGTACTTTTGAAACAAACAGCAAAATTCTCTCAGCGTCATTTTTTGCAGCACTCAGATAAATTGACAAAAAGACACTTCCTTTTAAATTTGATCAGTTGCAGTATTTTTAAATGGAGCAGCTCCCACTCAAATGGTAAATTGGTAAAGCACATCTGCTTACTGCAAAGAAAACTCCACTCACATACAAGCATTCAGACCAAAATAAGATGGCAATGTCAAGCAAAAAAAAGAAAGAAAAACGATATTTAGAAAGACAGAAATTAAATATCTGGTTCAACAGATGCAGCAAATATCAACCTAGACTACCTATATTATGAACTAAGAGTTGGTCAGCTTCCAATTTCTGCTCAGCCACAGTAACAGAAGGTCATCACAATGAAGGCAAAGTCAAAGCAAAGTCAGAAACTAGCAGTGCACTGAGGTGTAGGTAAGTGACAGGCCTGTGCATTATAAAGAGCCACACTGCTGCTTTGCTCTTGACAAATTGAATTTCTACAAGTGACTAATGACAAATGCTTTCTGTGACTAAGCCTGACTGATTGCATTTTCAAACACTGCCAAGCCAAACTGTTAAAATACTGTTACAGCAGACCACATTTCACACTCCTAGAGCTAAGATTGATGTGAAGTGTGTTCTTAAGTAAAACAAATGGTCTCACTGCACTTTCTTCTCAAAAAAACCTCTAGGTGTGATACAATGCATACTGAATAAAAGCATCAAGACATAAACCACCCAGAAATTCAGGTTCAGTTCTCAAGCTGTTTTAACATATTCAATTGTACTACTGACATAGAGTACTTGCTTAGTTTGACTGAACTTATCTACTTTAAATAATATGCATAATCAAGCTGCCAAAATAGCTACTTCATACACAACAAAAGTGCAGTGCCAGTTCAAAAGCACATTCACAACTGTGCAGATTTTGTTGATTTTGATTTTTCTGGTGAAGAGTGAAGACACTGCACCAGTCTTAGTTGTCAACAGAAAGTTCCAGGGAGTATTCTGTACCCAGATACAAAGAAAAGCGGGAAAAACAGGCGGACAGGACACGCGGCTATCTACTATAACCCACCTAAACACACCAATAGTTGTGGTGGAATCTAGTCAGGCTTTATTATGATGAGAACCTGACTTTTATATAATTTGCAGTAAGTGCTACAGACATCACAACAATAATAACGACAGCTACAGTTTCAGCTTTATCATGAGGTTTACCTTGCTTGGGATCCTCAGATTCTCCACAGGACTCAGGTCTGCCATACTCTCCTGGGGGCTTTTCAGGCCCTGTCAAAATAAATACTCGCTATTGATATTCAGAAAAACCATCATTATGTACCATTTCCTTTTTCAGTTATAACCTGTTCTCGTTTTCGTATAGTTTGCTATTCATCAGCACACTACGGGATGCAACGAAAAGTGCAACCAACGGACAGATTTGTGAAAGAGATATTCCCTGTTGTGTCCAAAGGTGACTCGATGAGGGTAACATTTCTGGTGTGCAAACTGAGAACTTTCCGAACCGCACGGATAACACTATTGTGCGCTGCTGTCGTGACTGTACAATGGTAAACAATTACAACTATGACGTGGGTATAAGTGTCTATAGTCGTATAGTTTCTTCCTGTGAAGTTAATGGGCCGTAACTGTGTTGCAGTCATTAAAAAGCGGTCGTTACTCCAGCTGAATGTGCGCTTTAATGAAGCACAAGATGAGCTGTCAGTTTAGCCAGCTATCTTAGCTAGCTGTTGTGCTAGCTACCTGCAGCTGTCAAAGACAAACGCCAGCACCTCGGTTTCTATAAACCCGCTTTACTCACCTGCCGGGCCATAAGAGATTTGATCTTCTGCATCGTAAATCCGACGTGTGTTCGTGGACAACTAAATGAATGAAGTTACAGTATTGTTTTGTTGTCACTGATCGCCTCCATCACTACGACTGAGAAGCCATAGTTGAATGTCACGTGGCCGGCAGGCAGGAACCAGGAAAGTATTCTGGGAAGTGTAGTTTTTAATAAGAGTCGTGACCTGTCAGATTGTGTGCAAAATTGAAAATATAAGTTATTCTAAAACAAATAAAATACACTTCAGAAAATGCGCGCGCGCGCGTGTGTTCAAATAAATCATTTGATACATTTGGTGCTAATATAACTGAATAGAATATGATAATAGTAGAACAAAATATCAGACAGCAATGATTACTTTTGCTTTCCTGAAAAATCATTTTGTACTTCTCTGATCTGAAACCTGTGATTCTGACATGTCACCACAGGAAAATCATTAGAGTAAATAATAAATATGAATGTTGTCTGAATTTTATGTACCTAATTTGGTTTCAGAGTCCTACACTGTCATGGAGATGTACTGGCACAGAGTCATTAGCAACACCTTTGCTTTTCTGGCTATGACAAGTCAGAACATCTGCTATTATTAACTGTATCTCTAGCCAATAGCCAATAGTTCTTCAGATCACTAGGACTCTGCAGAGCATTTACCACCACAGGATGCATAGAAAAGCTGCCTCCATCCTCAAAGATCGCACCCACCCCCATCACGGACTGTTCACTTCTTTGCCCTCTGGCCGGAGGTTCAGAAGTGTGAAATGAAGGACCACTAGACTGAAAAACTCTTTCTTTCCCTCTACCATCAGACTCCTAAACAGCTGAGGAGTTTATTACCAGGAAATACGTCATGTACTGTTTACATTCTGTTTGCACATGCATAATTGCACAATGACTGTTGACTGCTGCGCATGTTGCTCCGATGCAGCATACATTCTGTTATATTCTTGTATTTTTTTTCTACTATATTGCATCTGCGCTGCTTAAAGTGCTTTAGATTTTGTGTCTTAGATTTTGTGTTATTTACTGTATTTATCTACTTTATATTTCATTTGTATTTTGTGGCATTCATGTGGACGGCAAAGTAAGAATTTCATTGTACAGGGAAACATGTTTCCTAATTGTGCATATGACAAAATAATCACTTTGAACTTTGAACTTGAACTTAGTTTTACAGTATTTGGCCTTAACTAAAATACTTTCTCTAATACCTCCATATACCTACATGCTATATCTCTCCCAAGCAATTAAACCTGGCTCTGCATTCAGTCTGCTTTGCAGTGGCCCCCTTAGGTGTTATTTTGAGCAGTACTTTAAAAGCAGGCAGTGTGAGCTGTAGTTCCTGGTTAATGATGCCTCAGGCTATTTCCCAGTCAAATGAAGGTGAGGTCACTGTCCTTAGGTGAATTTACTCCACTGTTGTTTGTTAAGCCATCATCTACAGTGTGGCTCCTCCCTTAAGGCATACACTGAGACAGAACAGATGGCACACCTACCCGGAGATGCCACCACAAAAACACAGAAAACTGCTGGTCATTTCCTAATCTATAATTAAAGCTAATAAACTGCTTTTTCCTGTGCATGGGCGTGTCATCATGCAGCACTTTATAGCTCAGTCAGAGAGTTCGATCTTGACAAATTATTATCCTTAAACGATAAAAAAAATTTTTTAAACTCTGCCATTATTTGTCTTGTTGGCATTGTAAAATAAGTAATACAATTAAAATACACTAGATTAAGGTTAGAATTTGTGCTATACTGTCATGAATTTGAGTTAAAGCACTCAAGCATGGGGGTGAGATGACTCAGTGCTTCAGTAATAAGATGAAACATAGCAGAAAGAGCACTGCTGTCTTTGAGTTATACAATGTTCAAAGTGAGAACAAATAGTGGAAAACTAGCTGCCGTAGTCCCTAATCTCTTTTTTTTAATAAACTGCAGATCCATTTTGACCACTATTTTCTTAAAAAATATCTTGTGTCTGTTTCTTTACTCTTTCTTGCTCTTCTTTCTACCACTTCTCTCTTTCACACAACAACCACACGTTTTTATCTTGTCACAAGATGTCAGCGGGAGCGGGTGGAGGGCATTCTGCCACATACTGAACCATCCATCTGTTGCTACCTGCCACCATATCACACCATGTGCAACAATACTGCCAAGATAAGAGCTCAGCATAGAGCTCATACACTTGTGAGAAATGAGCTCACAGCCAGGACATCACATGAAAACTGCATTTGATACCTTTGTGATATCTGAGATCTTTGCTGGCTTCAGCTAATATATGGAGCATCTGTAATAAAAAAGATGTTCATTATAAGCCATGAATACTATAATTAAAAACCCAGTTCCAGAAATAATATTGTCTTTGTCTGGTGATAGATATTTACATATTCAAAAATTACCCAAAATAGTAAACAGGAATATCTTTAATAAAGTACAAAACACACACATGAATGCAAATTGTATAATAATTTAAGAAGTCTTAATCATTTTCCTTGTTTCAGCATTTCATTGTATTCATGATAAGCAGGAAAAAATGCTACATTTGAGAAAACAGGGTTGTAGGAATAAATAGATTTAGGCAAAACATAGAAATTGAATAATATGTATAAAGGATCTCCAGGATAATCCATGTACAGTATTTACATTTCACCTAAAAATATTCCATACAACAATATGGATTCATAATAACACTTGTCTCCTTACAAAATAGGCTTTATTTAGGGAGAATGTTAAACCAGAAAGATTTAACAGAAATAGCAATTAAAACAGTTTTAATAATTAACATGTGTTTGAAACAGTAATCAAGGTTTGGGAATTTTATGCATCTTGTAGGCACCCTATAAGATCATAAATGGCTGCTTGCTTGGTTTAATATGATCCCAGTGAACTTCAGTTATATTTTCACATTTAAAAAATTCAAGCCATACATACATTTTCATCTCACATTAATGTTAGCAACATGTATGTCCAAAACTATGGACAAAAACAGTGCGCAATCAGGTTGTGTACTCACACAACTCTCTTCCATCCCTTGTGCAAAAATAGCCAACAAAGCCAGTTTTTCAGGCTTTGATAACAGAGACTGAAGAGAATAAAGCTACACAAGAGTCTTCAAGTGGAATGAAGTTACATCTCAGCTCTCCAGCTGGGAGTCACTTCAGCAAACTCTGACTAGGGGTTTCAGGAACATGTCTGATCACATCATAGATGGTGGTGTGCATATCCTGAATTGAGTCAAGACGAGCCAGAGATCTGCATGATGCCTGCAGGACAGTTGCAGAGCAAAATGAGTTCAGCTATGAATGTTATTGCTTTATCATTGTGCAAAGTACAACATGAAAAATACCTGTGCAGATTCCATTTTCCCAGGTATGGAGACAAACTCATAGATACCAAAGTCCTCTGTTGCATCCTCATGACCTGCTCATACACAGGTCATGGTTAATATCAAACCATCTAACCAGCACTGACACAGTAATTACTATCTACTCTCTGTAAAACATTTTAGCAATATAATGAATGTCATGACACCACACAAGCAAGACCCGCTTCTTCAGATGGAATCAATGAAACACCATAACTTTGTTTATTTTCTGCTTAGCCTCCTCCTATCCCAAGCCTGTTTTTTTTTTCTTGGAAAGATTTTCAGTCAAATGGAAAACCAATGCATTATTGCCTTATGCCTCACAACATATGATGTAAGATATGTATATGTGTAAATATGATGTAAGCAGACTCTATCATGTGGGTGTCCTTGGTGTCCGCAGTGTTTGATGGTATAAGCAGGTAAAAACATCAGTGAAAAGGAAGCAGCTAACCTGAATGATGAGGTCTTTTCTGCTCTGAAAGGGGTCTGCAAAAACAGCCAAATAAAGCAGCTGATTAAAACTTTGACTGAAGGCACAATGATTAAAACCTATTAATTTTATTAATATTCCAGGCTCTTACCTGTTGTAAATGCTCATAAGCACTTTTGGTAGTGAGAGAAAGACAGAATGAAATAATTTTTCACAAATACAGACTAACATATGCAAGTTTGATACATTTATGATTAACTTCAACATCGTGCAGCAAGTCGTTAATGTTATCTAATGTCGGGAAAAGGCCACAATTTAAAAGCCACAATATTCAAATCATAATTATTTAAGCAGGGGACATGTTGAACAGATGGCTGAGATGGCAGGAGGAAAAAAGTGCTACTGCTGCTTAGGGCAAATCAGCAGAAGAAGGTATTAACTTACCTCTCTTAGGATGGCAGGTTCTCCTGAGAAAGAACAGCAGCATACATGCGATGATGAACAAAG